ATCATCATCATCATCATCATCATCATCATCATCAGCATCATCATCATCATCATCATCATCATCATCATCCTTTCTCACCCTGCGCTGGGGTATAGGCTACCAACCGCAACCAGCGCTCTCGGTTTACTCCAGTCCAATCTGTTCCAGTCAGGGGCTAATAATAGTCTCCAACATAATCACTGCTGTCATCAAACAATTAAAATCATTAAGCAATCCATTACAATCAAGAAATAATCACAGTCAGTACAGCCACTAAACTAGATAATTATTTATCATTAAACAATCTGAATCATTGCAATCGTTTAGAACCCCAAAAAAAAAAAAAACCAACAACAACAACAACCCCAACCAAAATCACTACAATCATTAAACAATAATTGAAATTATTACACCAATAAAACAACAATTGAAATCATTACACACAAAAAAAACAATAATTGAAATAATTACAATCCTTAAATTATCAAACCTTTTACAATCATCAAACATTCAAAATCACGTCCATGAGCGAAGGCTGACCTGTTTGGGTAATCAAAGTGAGGCAAGGAATCAGACAGAGATGAGGTCACACACGAATAGATTGGAATATGATAAACAAAATTTCTTACCCGAGGGGGCATCACTGAGTTGTGAATGAAAACAAATCCTGAATTCGCATTTTTGGTTTAACCACCAAAATAGTCGAGAACATATAAAATCAAATATTAAATTATTCCTACTTTGGTCAAAACATTGTCATAATTTTTACCCGGGCTGTGTGAATAATGGTCTTTAAGTTTTTGGCACAAAATATAATTTAAAATGTGAACACACAAACGAAAAGCAAAGAAGCAGAGATGACAATACTACGGATATATTATGATACATGACAATTAGTTATCGATTTGATATCAAATTTCCCAGTCTTTGTCTAGCATTTCGCGGCAAGGATCTAGTGTCATAATAGGGTCATGGTCTGATCAGAGGGCGGTAAAAAATCAAGGAAAAATAAACAAGCATTCAGCAGCCATGAGACTATTAGGAGTTAGTCCCCCCCCTCCACCCCCCTCACCCCTTTTTAGGTTACCTCTGCCAGTCTAATTTTTTGCTTACATAATCAGTGCGTGTAACTGCTTATGAGAGTGGCCCGAAAAGAGTAACAGTGTATTTATGCGGCAATAAAACAGTTTTGAGTGTTGTGCGCACGTTCCCTTCACCTTTTCTAAGTAGACTTTACCAATATAATTGTAAGCTCACCTTGTCCTTGCTTAAATTGTGACTACCAGTGAGAATGGCTCGAAAGGGGTGAACAGGGTACTTATGTGGCATTGAAATGGTTTTGCATGTTGATTGGTGATTATGAACGTCTATTTATTAACATTTATTTAAAACAAGGCCTACGTCTATTGGTGAATTTGACTGCGAGCATGTTCCAAACTTAGGAAGGGAAGCAGTGGTTATTTGTTTATATAAGCGCTTCACACTGACCATAGCAATAAAAAAGAAATTGAAATTATTACTGTCATTATTATCATCCCAATCATGTCACATGACACCCTTTCGTCCCCAGATCGGCGTGTCCTCCTGTGACCTTAACGCCGTCATCATTGACCCCGAGTCGGACACCATCACCTCCATCAGCTTCCTCAGTGGAAACAACAGCGATCGATTCAGGTGCGTCTTCGGCTTCTTTCTAGCCATCCATCATTTTGTTTTGTTTTGCTTTAGGGGTTAGAAAGGGGGGG